AAAAAAAAAAAAAATGAACACAATGTCAAACATTTTTCAGACTTCATTTCTCTGTTAATCACCCCCACATTCCATGGTACGACGATTCACTGGCTTATGGGAAGTAAGTGCCACCAGTTTTGGGTCAAGTCAAGGTGACCTCATTCTGAGGCTCATCAGGCAAATAACTGCCTTTGCATAGTTGCAGGGACATGAATTCTCTTGTCCCTGTAACTACTGATTACGTTTCAAATGAAAACTCCATGTACAAGCTTTTGGAGAAGTAGGAACTGGGGATAACATCAGATATCATTCAAATCAAATCACATTCTAGACAATTAGTGCCATCCAGACTAATAACTGGTGCCCAGTCTGCACTGAAGGACACCAAGATATATTCCCATTTATTTGCTCACAGCACTTCCGTTGTAATGATGGCAGCTTCTAGCATTGCACAATAAATAATAGCAATGAACATTTATTGAGCATCTACCATGCACCAAGGACTAGGCTAAAATTTCATGAGGATTACTTAATATAATCTTCACATCACCCTTATGAAATAGTTACTACATTTCCCCACTTACAGAATGATGAAGTAGAGGCTTAAAGGGAGGTAATTTGTACAACTGTTAATAGAAGCAGGATTCAAAAGATACCAACATGTTCCTCGTAGAGACTGTGCAATTGCTAGAAGCCACGGAACTGGGGATAGTTGCCTGCCACGTAGAGGCAACATGCTTGCAGTTGTGTACATCGGGGGTTAGCAAACTAGAGCCTGGGGCCACATCTGGCCTGCCGCCTGGAGAAATGCCACCAGGCCAGTATCTTTACATATTATCTATGGCTGCTTTCACAGTGATGGAAGCTGGCCCACAAAGCAGAAAATATTTACTATATGACCCTTTACAGGAAAAGTCCTTTTTTTTTTGAGTAGGCTCCACGCCCAGTGTGCAGCCCACTGTGGAGCTTGAACGCACAACCCTGAGATCAAGAGTTGGGAGGCTTAACTGACTGAACCAGCCAGGTGCCTCCAGAAAAAGTCTCTTTTAGATCACTGGATCCTTCTACTACTGGCTCTATGAAAGAGGGTTTATTCCAACTTTACCGATGAAGAAACTGGTTCAGAGAACTCAAGCTGCTTTTACTTCTAAAATGCAAAATTTGTATTCTGCCATAGAATTGCTCTTTTTTCCCCCCAAAGTTATGGACATTAGGGAGGAAATGCTATACATATTCCTCTCATTTCATAAAAGAAAAGACATTTTAATACCTATGAATGAGGGATGTAATTTATTCCCCTGAAAGGAAACTTTAAGTGAAATAAATTTAATTTTATGCACAACTTGGAACACTATTCCTATTTTCTTCATTTTGCAAAGGACAGGTGAGAACATGGTCATGGACTAGCATGAGTTCAAGAACTGGCAACTGGGGGGTCAATTGCTTAAGAACTTTGGGCAGAAAGTGGCAGAGCCAAAGCCAGAGGACACTCAGGCCTATCTGACTCCAAAGCCAGTGACCCTTCTACTCCTGTCCGTTGAGATGATCTGTCTTGGCCTCAGGCATTCCTTCTGCCATTCAAGAACTCTTTCTTGAGCACCCACTATGTGCAGGGTACCAGACTCATGCCAACGACACAACGAGAATCACTTTCTCCCATTTCTCTCTAACCACCTCTCTTTCCTTTGGCTGTTTTGATTAAGACCAAACACTCAACTCCTGTTACAACTCAGTTAACCATTGTCTTGTTATGACAACTTGACCTGTTGGCCGTTGAGGAAAATGATCCACACGAAAATACCACAGTGCAATGATACTCTAGGGTCCCTTTTTTTAGTGTTAAGTATTGACTCTAGAGGCCTTAGGATAGGAAGAAATTAAATGATTTTTATCAAGTCACCAAGACTGTCCAATCCAGAGCTCAGAGGAAAATAATCTCAATGAGGGGCGTTTGGCTGGCTCCATCATCAATAGACCATGCAACTCTTGATCCTGGCGTTGTGAATTTGAGCCCCACATTGGGTGTAGAGATGACTCAAATTAAAAAAAAATTTTTTTTTTTTTTAATCTCAATGAACATCTTTCTAGTTACAAGGTCCTCTGATAAGTGATCAGGTCACATCTTGTAGGTATAAGTCCTGCCTTCCATCAGTAGCTACTATCATCACTTTAATAAAACCATGTTTCTAGAAACTGTTCTATTACAGTGAACTATCACAAGTAGAGTAGTCAAGCTATTTAAAAATACAAGACAAAGTTAATTATGTAAAGTGATTATCAAGGCATTTTAAATTAACATTCATATTCTTGAACAAATGAGACCATGCCAGTGAGTGCATTATATATAACTACATAATAGCCTACATTTAAATATTTTTGATTCTGAATTATTTCTCTATTTTTTTTTTATTACATGGATAAAATGAGAAGTACCCGGGAAGTTCCAATTACTCCACTGATCTTAAGCTGAGTATTTAAAAATGATTAAATGAAACTTACTGTGTATTCTGGTCCCAGATGTTCATTTGGACAAGAGAGAAAAGAAAAAAAGAGACAAAATGATGATTTAGACCATGCTTATATGCAAAAGAACACCATAGAACTAACAAATACTGGTGAATTATATTAAAAATATGTTAAAGAAACATTCCAAAAATTGAACTTTCATAAATATCTCCATATTTGCTCTTGAAACTCTTTCAGCTGATACTTTTGTGGTTGGGCAGATAAGGACTGTAGACAAGATTCAATTAGCCTACAGGTTTGTGGCTAATTAAAAACCAAAGAGTTGGCATTATAAAGGCAGAATTAAAGACTAATAATTCCAGTGGAGCATTTCATTAACCACAAAGGAAATCTTTTAAGCGGAAAAGCAGCTTTTATAACCAATAAGAAGAGCTTGTTATGATGACATTCAAGTGGGATCTCAAGTTTTCATGTTTGAGGGCAAGAACCAAACCTTCCAGATTTGGGGGCCACAATTTCTAGATCAGTATCAGCACAGAGTTTATTACATGTGAGAGGGAAGGTGAGCTTAAAATTATCATATTATCCCACTGCAAAGGAAGTAGTTCGGGGCAGAGAGACCCAACAGAACCTTTTACATAAATTATAGTTAAGGTTTGGGGGTGTGGAGTGGGGCTCTTTGGGGGAGGGGCTGTAAAATAAATCAAAATAAACAACTTGTTTGACATATCACTAAAAAGAGTTTCACCTTCCTTCTCCATAAGGTATTTACTACAATCACTTCCAAAAAGAAGACGGGATGGTTTATCTTAATTCCTACCTGCTAGAAAAAGCACTGACCTAAAAAGATGAAGGCAAAGGGTGACGGGCAGATACTACAGGGCTCTCCCAAGTCCCTGTTTGGATAATAAACCCTAAATCAGTGAAATCTGGCTACCACTAGGTCCTATTGCTACATGTGACATACGGGTTATAAACAGGACTTACCTGTAATTGTGTAGGGATAATAGTTCCAAGCCTTTTCTGTAACATAAAAGATTTTGGGAACAACAGCTCTAGCCCAGCTAGGCAATTTGCTAAGAGGAAAGAGAAAAAAAAAAAGACCATTAGAAAGAGTCTGCCCAGAGCCTCACGTGCTGCCCACACCTTCCTGGATAAACTGCTAGAGAAAGCAGAGGCTCTCCTAGGCAGTTCTTCTCTCCACAAGTCATCCCTTCCCCACCCCTCTGGTCTTTGGCAGAGTTCACCATTCTCTGTGCATTATTCATATGCTCTTGAAATGTCGGAAGGCAGGTGATGACAGCCTGGTTGGGGGGGGGGGTGGCAGTTCATAGTATTGTTAGCCTCTCCTCTTTGATTTGATTTACATGGACATGAGATTTCAGCGCCTGGCAGGTGCCCTGTTGGGAGGGTTTGGCCAGCCTGGCCTTGGTCTCCTAGGAGTCACACGGCAGAAGTGATAGGACGCAATGTTTAAGCCCCAGTATGGAAGGGGACAGAGGCAAATGGTAGAGCCAGGCGTCAGCTTAACAATCCGCAAGAGTGAGGTTTTATTTTATTTTTTTTAGATTTTATTTATTTATTTGACAGAAAGAGACAAAGCGAGAGAAGGAACACAAGCAGGGAGAGTGGGAGAGGGAGAAACAGGCTTCCCGCTGAACAGGGAGCCCGATGCGGGGCTCGATCCCAGGACCCCAGGATCATGCCCAAGCGGAAGGCAGACGCTTAACAACTGAGCCACCCAGGCGCCCCAAGAGTAAGGTTTTAAAAATGAACTAAAGCAGCAGACAGTCACAATTGTAGAGATGTGAAGAATAACAAAATATAGCCCCTCGATGACTGCAGTCCGTTGACTTGTGTCCCTTGCCAAAGATCTGTCCCTGTCCTAACCCCCGGCACCTGCGAATTTACCCTTATTTGAACAGCAGGACTTGTGAGGATGTAATTAAGGACCTCAAGGTGGAATCCCCTTGGATTTAGGGTGCAGGTCCTCACTCCAGGGACTGGTGTCCGCCTGAGAGAGAGAGAGGAGGCAGATCTGGAGACAGGGACACACAGAGTGGGGAAGCCACGTTAAGACAGAGGCAGACACTGCAAGGACACAGCCAAGGATGCCGCAGACCCCAGACGCTGGGAGGGAGAAGCCGGTCCGAGCCCCTGCAAGGAGCCAACAGCGCCAACACCTTGATTTCAGACGTCTGGCCTCCAGGACTGAGAGAGGACACATCTGTGTGGTCTTAAGCCTCCCAGCTTGGGAGGATTTGCTGGGATAGCCACTGGAGAATAAGACAGGAGCAGGAACCCGGGCAGCCAGTCAGCCAGTCGCAGAAAACAAATTCTTAAAACAAAGAAAACCCGGGGGGCACAGGTCTCAAGAACTTTTGTAAACCAAAGACTAATGAAGTTTTTTTAATTTTGTTTTGTTTCCCTTCAGGGGCCAACTCTACAGGCATAGTACAGGCCCAGAGAGAATTCCCTATTACATTTAAATATATAGGATCATACATTCCTTAAATATGCCTGCATGATTTTATGTCCCCCCGCCCCGCCCCCCGCCAGCGCTATGCCTGGGGCGGGTTGTATCTTTCCAGAGGCCACTACTGTAGTTCTTTCCTCTTCTGGTGCCTACAGCCAAGTGCCTGGACCTCCAAGGCCTAGCCAGGACTCCAGACCCTCAGATGACACAGACTCGGCTCCTGAAGCAGCATGTCGGTGATAAAGCTCATCACGGAGCACTTCTGAGTTCCAAGCTGACAGAACTAGGAACCGGGGACATCGAGCTGCTAGAACCCCCAAATCCCCAACCCCTCTTGGACAGGGAGCTTAAATGACAACCAGAGCCAGAAAAATACCGTGCATCTTGTACGTCTTCTCAAATTGTTTCTCTGATTTCTGACAGTGTCCAGGACCTGCTTTTAAGAAGACGAATCTGTACTTCCAATGGCTGGCCGGACCTAACCCAAAGCTCTGGGCCGTTTATCAGGGTTAAATCAAATGGGGACTCGAAGGTCCCCTGACACTGGGTGAGTGTCAGACGAGGCCACGGCTCTCGGGCGGGCTGGGTGGCGCGAGCAGGGAGCCGTTTTATAACCCACAGCACAATTCTCACGGCTCTAATGCAGAACGTCTCACTCCTAGAAAATCATCTCGGTGGCAACTGCTCATTTACCTGATGTTCACACCGCTCGAAAGGAAGGGGCTGCTTCCTGGCGGGGGTTTTTATAGCTTTTACCTTTGATTTATTCTTTCAGTCGCTGGAGTTGGACAGCAACCAGGGTGGACGTCTAGAGTGGGAAAATCGCATTGGGCTTGCTGCGGGAAGCGGGCAGGAACGCATCTTCCCCTGGGCTCCCTCCTTTTTGCCCCCCAGCCCAGGGCGATGTCCGGCAGTGGGTGGTGCAGGAAGACGTGGCTTCTACTCACAGGGCAAGTGGTTTCCTTGTGCTCTTAGCGGACTGAACCAGAACTGTAGAATCTCCCCCCAAAGAAAGCTCGGCATTCTTTAGCTTAGACAAAGTGTGTATGTCTCCCTACAGGCATCAGGACCCATTCCCCACTGTCCCCACTGTTGGGGGAGGGGCTCTACCTCCACTGCACCCCTCCCCAGATGCATTAGGCTCCTCATGCATAGCGTTCTGGGGGCCCAAGCCCCCTTCCTCCATAAATCACTCCCTTTATCACTTAAAAAGCCTCCCAGCAAAACCACATTCCTAAGCAACAAGCATTTTCTGGAAGGAGGATGAAAAACAGTGGCAATTTTCCATCCATGTTGAGACTTTTTTTCCTATTTGTCTGCAGTCAGGACCCCAGCCTCTAGAATCTCCATTTTTACGTGTCTCATCCACCAAGTCCTGCAGGATACGCAGCACCGTAATCAATCACCTTTTCCAAAGAGACGCCCTAAAAAACCCCACAACATTCAGCCAAGATGGCTGATATCATCTTACGGGACCCTTCCGAGGAGTCCGAGAAGGAGACCCTCCCAGTATAAGCCAGCCACCACGCCAGGTGCAGGAGGCGTCGGCAACGAGTTCCATGACACGATTTAAGCCCATTAACAGACCTTCTCTCAGCGCCCCCACTCTGCCTAGAGCACATCATTATTCAAATCGTTTTTGTCTGAGGAAGTAAAATTTATTTTTCCCTGTGGCAATGATTTATCAGGGCTGCAAAGGAAAATGGAATTAAATTAGTCCCCACTGCTGTCACTTCCATGATGTACACTGTCACACAGCCTACAATTCTAAGGAGAAGTCTGTCACTCAAACTCACTCCCAGCTGTCAGACAAGAGTCTCTCTTCCAGAATGGGGGCACGGTTGCAATCATGTCCTCTTGGTCCACTGGCCGGGACCAGACCTTCCAACAGCCCCCGTCACTGCCGCTCAGGCTTTAGCGACCCTGAGGAAAAAGGTGGTCAAAACTCTGAAGCCTTGGGGCACCTGGGTGGCTCAGTCGGTTAGGCGACTGCCTTCGGCTCAGGTCGTGATCCTGGAGTCCCGGGATCGAGTCCCGCATCGGGCTCCCTGCTCGGC